GGATTTTCATAATTCTCACTGCGTACAGCGCAGAATGCATTTTTTATAATACCCACTGCGCTTAGCGCAGAATGCATTTTTTCTTCTCCGCATTTTCACAAAAATGAATTACGTAACAGTTGAACTTGATTTCTTTTCTCGTATTTTTTTATTAATCTCATCATATGTATAATCTCTCCGGCGCACTTTCCTGTTATTTGTCTATTCCTATTTTTTTATTTTTTCGTCGTTCTGGTGAATCACGCGTTAAACGTTCCCTCAGTACCCCTTCCCTTTACGCCTTCGTTTTCTGTGAAAATGCGTTCGAATCTGGCGTCACTTGCGTACTCTTCAATACTTATCTTTTCTAACAATCTCTATCTTTTTATTTTTTTTTCATCATTTAAATACGGTTTACCCCCCCCCCCTTATTGATTCCCCCTTAATTTAATTCTTCGTCAATTTACAAAATTTCTCGGTATACAACATTTTTCGTAAATACTTTAGAATTTCCCTTAATTAGATGTCCTTGATTTTTGTCTTCAACGACCTTAACTTTCACACTATCTCTTTTTGTTGCTCTAGAAAATGCTACATAGAGTTGTCCATGTGCAAATACTGGATTTTGCAAATAAATTCCAACTCTTTCTAAAGTTTGTCCCTGTGATTTATTGATTGTCATAGCAAATGACACTCTAATAGGAAACTGTCTCCTTTTTAACTTAAACGGAATTTCAGACTCATTTGGAAGGAAATTAATCCTTGGGAGAAAAACTGTTTGACCTCGGGCAGGGCCAGTCAATACCTCCGCATGAATCAGATTAGATTTTAAATCATTTACGATGAATCTTGTGCCATTGCATAGTCCTTTCTTCGTATTAAAATTCCTTAATAGAATAATTGTAGCACCTATCTTTAGTTTTAATCGATGAACTGGCATTCCAGACGGTGTCAAAGAGTTTAAAAACTCAGTCGGAAAATTCAATTGTTCCTGTGGATCATCACTTATAATTGAGTCAATTGAGAGATACTCCTTTTCATCTCCTTCCATTAATCCAAGGATTTCGTCATTAATTTTAAACGTATCCTCATTCTTTGGACAAAGTATTGCTCTATCTTGATTTTGTCGAACCTCTTCAATAGTGATTCTCTCTCCAAAAATTTCAGTTATAAGAGATTGTTCTGATATAAAATCCTCTGGAATTTCTATTGTATCAGGACCTAAATCATCCATATTTGACAATTTACCATCGCCGAGTTCCAACAACCAGTTTGCAAATTCTCTTTCTTCTCCAGTTCTCATATTTTGCTTTAGTTTAAATTGAATTACATTTCTCCATATATTGTTAAATTTTACAGTCGACTCAATTATCGCAGCTTTGTGTGCATGAGGCACTACAGGTAGATTTTGTCTGAAATCTCCTCCAAATAAAATTACTTTTCCGCCAAATAATCCTGGATTCTTCATTAGATCCCTTAGGAGTTTGTCTACTGCTTCTAGAGCATGTCCTACAGTCATACTCACCTCATCCCATATGATTAGTTTTGCAGCAATCAGTTCTCGCGCAGCTAGAGAGTTTTCTCTAATATTAGATTTAGCACCATCATCAATTGGGATGGATAACTTGAACATGGAGTGATAGGTTCTTCCTCCCTTTAGAAGTGTCGCAGCAATGCCAGTTGAGGCACATGGTAGAACCACCTCGTTTCTTCCTCGGATTACCCTCAGTAATGTGTTAAACAGGTACGTTTTACCACTACCGGCAAACCCATCAATACAAAATAACCTCCTTGGTTCATACTCATTGTCAATTGCTGTCATTACTAAATCATACACTTTTTTTTGTTCCTCATTTAGTGTTGATAATAAATAGTTACCACATTGCCTTTCCTCCTCCACATTATATTCTGTCATGTCAATATTTACCTGATATGGATTTGGCAATTGAAAATTTATACAGTTACTCCCATTAATTTTCAAAATTTCCTCTATATAAATCAAAGCCATATTTTCAGGATCGACAACATTGTTATGTATATAGTCCTCAATCATGTTGTCTTTGTATCTATTCCAAAGTGTTAATACATCTCTTGGTGTTCCAAAAATGCAAATGTAGGCAAATAGCTCTCGAATTTGTGCAGGCATATGTGATTCTGTCGCTTCTTCCAAAGTTTTGTCCCAAACATCATCTGTTTCTACCAAATCCTTTGCAATTGCCGCATCTTTAAATGTCTCATAAAGAACTCCATTGACACTTCTCACATCCTCATAACTTTTAGCTCCAGTCACATTAAGGAGAAGTAGACGGAGATAAAATCTTTCAGTGTCTCTGATACTCACTGTGTACATCCTTGAAATTATTTTGTTAACTCCTTTTTGGCGTAGCTTCCATTTAGTTTCCTTTTTTTCAAAAACATAATGAGAAGGTATATCTGTGTATAGAAATTTCCTCGCATTTTCATCAGATTGATTCAATTTGAACCATGCAGTCAATGTAGTTTCTCGATTGAGCTCTCTTTGAGCAGCTTGTTCTTCATTTCCTGCACGGAAATAAACCATTTGGCGATTAGGCAAATGAACTGCCAGTCTAATTACTGTGTGAGACTTCATAAACAGATCGTATCCATTCAGTCTCCACATTGCTTCTGGAGCACTAACATATCTTGCATCCATGAACGAATTAACTTCATCAACTTTAATGAACCTTGTGCCATCTCGTGCTTGCACCTCAATTGCAGCACAGTCAAATCCTTTGTGAATGTACTTGTATAAGTATTTTACGCTCTTCACCGATGAGCATATTTCCAAATTTATGTGCCGATCATATTTCATAATTAAAAATGGCGAATATGGCACTACCCATCGATTGTCAACTTCTTTTCCTCTGACAATGTATTTTTTCCCAGTATTCCTTCGTTGATACATGGGATATCCATTTACATTAGCATTTGTTTCGTCTCGAAACTCTTTTGGAAAGCCTTTTGAGCATTTTCCATCGTTCCCAGTGCAAGAATATCTCGTTGAAAGGTCAGAACATGGTCCATGAATCATATGCCTCAGAACTTTTGCATTAAGTTCTGGATATATTTCTTCGTCAGGAATTTCAGCCCATACCATCATGTCAATTACTCCTTGAAGTCGAGGCTTCTCTTCCTCACTCAACATTGCAAGTAAATGCATATGTGGTAGTCCTCTTTTTTGGAACTCAATCACGCCTGCATAGGCTAGGATATTTCCAAATATACTATTATGGATCAGCTCCTTCATGATCTCTTTGACGTCCAAGCTAAATGTTTTAGCGACTAAATCAGGTCGATACTCTACTTGGCATCCATCAAGGTTCTCCCTAATTTCAGGCGATTGAGGATTGCATGTCATTGTTAGAAAAATGTCTGGTTTACCAAACTTTCTAACCAAAGACATAGCATCTTGGTATCTTTCTTGCATATTCTCGGACTGCCCATAAATGAGGATGGTAATATTACAGGTATACCAGCTGTAATTCCTTCATTTTGTGCTCTATTATGAAGGTGATCCATTAGCCCTGAATAAAGTTCGGCTCTTATTTGGGGCTGATTCATTTTAATGTAATTTATCCTATTGGCCTCAGTTTTCATATAGGCATCAAGTATGAATTGACATCTCAACTTGCCTGCCCTTTGAAAATGGCTGAATTCTGCTCTTGGTGCAAGTAAGTGAGCATAATAATCCATTTGTGTTACCTTAAATCCTGGATATTTAGGATTATTAGTTTTCAATTCTGAATGCCATCCATCGTTACCGTATGGATATAACAAAGGGTAACACATTGAGTCACACCTTCGATCCAGAATTGAAATTTGTTGCACATCGTTCGAATTTTTGTTATAAATCCGAATGTCTCTCTCGAATGGTGGCTCACCATCAACATTCTGAAAAACCACAGCTATTTCATTTGCTCTTGGAGCATTGTATCTTCTTTGATCTTGTTGTGGATCATTACGAAAGCTCAACATCAAGTTCGGAACTTCAGTTCCTCTCGGATTTAGATCTCTTTCAACCTCACGCATCATCTTAAATGTCTTTGCAAGTTTATTGTTTTTTACCATAAAAACTGACAGTGCTTTCATCAAGGCCTGATCACACCCTTGATTGGCTTCGTTATTAATTCTATAATGAACAGCTTCTTCTGTATCCAAAAAATAAAGCTGTGCATAACGCGGGGCTTGCCCAGCTCCTGGTCGCATTGCCGTAGATGTCAAATGATGATATTGTCCATGAATCTTTAAGCAATAAGGAGCAAGGGTCACAACATCAATTGGATTCCTATTGCTAGGTGCACCCATTGAAGCCATAGCTAAAGCACTGTTATACGATCTAATATTATCACGGAAATTCTTTGATAAATTATCATTTCCCATGTATAATTTCCTAAGAAAATCAGGCAAATTTATAGGCTCTAATTGAAGCTTTCCCTTTTGACAGCAATATGTAAATTTTCCATCTTTGGGCTTTTCACAGGCAAAATTCAATGATTTGCAAAATTGACATTTGACATTCATTTTTCCAAGTTTGTGAACAGGTACATTGATTTCATTCCCTTTATCAATGAGCGCAAGGTGATAATTCAATTCTCTGCCTTGGCGTCTTCTCTGATCATGTCTCTGAGCATCAGCCTCCTGTCTTCGCGACCTTTCTTCATCATTTTCATCCAATCTCTGCTGAGCATGTCTCTGAGCATCAGCCTCCTGTCTCCGACATCTTTCCTGATCATTTTCATCAAACCTGTGCTGAGCATGTCTCTGAGCATCAGCTTCCTGTCTCCGACACCTTTCCTCATCATTTTCTTCCAACCTCTGCTGAGCATGTCTCTGAGCATCTGCCTCCTGTCGTTGTAACCTTTCCTCCAAATTCTCAATTCTTCTCCTTTGTTGTGAACGTCTACCTTCACGACTCACTGTACTCAAATTACTGCCTTTTCTCTTTCGAGGCATTTTATCTAAATTAACCAATATTCACAAATTTTAACATATTAACCCTTTTGTATCGATATTACATATGTTAATTTCAAAATTTTTATTTTTGCCAGGCAGAACGTTAAAGTATTAAATATTAAACTAATTTATATGTCTACTTTTACATTATTTGTAAAAAAATTAACTTTGTACATAAAACTTACTTTTTATTCTATTTCCTTTCAGGTTAGATTAATAGTCTTTCTGTTATTCTTACGTTCTCGTTTGTCTTATTATTACGTTCACTTGATCCTTTATTTATTTTTTCTTTTTTGTTCTTTCTGCTGCTATTTCATAACAAACATTCGCATATTTTAATTTTATAAATAATAAAAATTTAATAATTATATTTATTAACATAATTAAAAATTATTATTTTTCAATAACATGCACACAATTTTAATCTCCTTAATTATTCTTTTTTAATTTGCCAAATCTGATCATATTTATGTCACTTATTGCCCACCATTTATAAAACGTTATGTATATTAAAAATCATTAACTAATATTAAACCTCCTCTATTATTTTTTTTTATAATTTTTGCAATAAAATCGGATAATCTTTTTCATAATTTTCGTACACAATTCTTGAAACACCATGTATTCATGCACGCACGCACGCATGCACTCACGCACTCACGTAATGAAGAAAATACTTATTAAAATCACTTAGATTTCCCCCCGAAAAATTAAAAATGCGTGTCACGAAAAAAATCACACGCAATAATCGTCACGAAATTCGGAAAAAATTTATTGAAACTCTGGTTAATTGATCATAAGTACCACCTACCGTTAGATTATATGAAAGAACGGCGACGTAAGCATAGCATAAGATCTTTTTATATATTTGCC